CAGAGAGATTGAGGGGGGTTCAGAGAGAGAGGGAGGGGGGTTAGAGAGATATAGAGAGGGGGGTTCAGAGAGATTGAAGGGGGGTTCAGAGAGAGAGGGAGGGGGGTTCAGAGAGATTGAAGGGGGGTTCAGAGAGATTGAGGGGGGTTCAGAGAGATTGAGGGGGGGTTCAGAGAGATTGAGGGGGGTTCAGAGAGATTGAGGGGGGGTTCGGAGAGAGAGGGAGGGGGGTTAGAGAGATATAGAGAGGGGGGGTTCAGAGAGATTGAAGGGGGGTTCGGAGAGAGCGAGGGGGGGTTCAGAGAGAGTTGGGGCAGGTCAGAGTAAGGGGACACTCCAAGTCTCCCACCACCTCCGCCCTCCCCGCAGGTACAAGCTGAACATCTGGGATGTGGGAGGGCAGAAGTCCCTGCGCTCCTACTGGAGGAATTACTTCGAGAGCACCGACGGGCTGATCTGGGTGGTGGACAGCGCTGACCGCCTCAGACTGGAGGACTGCCGGCAGGAGCTCAGCTCCCTGCTCCTGGAGGAGGTACGAGCACACTGCTCGCTCGCTACACGCCCACTGCTCTCCTGCTGCCCACTGCAGGCCTGAGCCCGGAGCCTCGCCACTGCGGGAGATACGGTTCAGCACTGCGGCACAGGGCCCAGCGCATCGCCGCCTCAAAAGCTCTGGGGCTCTGGGTTCGATTCCTGGGGCGCTGTCTGTGTGGAGTTTGCACGTTCTCCCCGTGTTCACATCGGTTTCCCTCTCTCTCCGGGGGCAGCGCCTGGCCGGAGCCACCCTCCTGGTTTTCGCCAACAAGCAGGACCTGCCGGGGGCGCTGTCCAAGGACGCCATCCGTGAGGTGAGTGAGCGCCCACAGGGGGGCGCCACCGCCGCCGCCGCCCTGCCCCGTCCGCCCCAGCCCACCACCCCAGGGGGAAACCTGTTCTGACTACAGATCTCCACATGCTTTGCGCCCAGGTCACGTCAGTCAGTCTCATGCCTTTGGCCTTTGACCCCTGACCCCTGACCCCACCTGGCAGGAATGAGCCAGGACCTCCCTTCACAGCCCAGAGCTCGCTGACAAAGCACGCCAAAAACAAAACAAACGTGCAGGACATGAGAACGTGTCCCCGACGAGACAGGAGCTGCCTGTCTTGCTCAGTTCGGTTGCTCTGTAGCTTATTGATCACAGGATCTCATCCAGCTTGTTTCCTGTGGCGTCCCTGGTCGGTCTGCATCAACTATGTGGCAAACTTGTTCCTGATCTTCTGCACCCTTTTGTGCGAGAAGCCACCCCCCTGTCCTTAAATCTCGCCCCCCTTGGGTCCCACGTGTGTCCTCGTGACATGAACTGGCTGTCCTGTCTGTCTGTGCAGGGGCTGGCACTGGACGCCATCAAGAGCCACCACTGGTGCATCATGGGATGCAGCGCGGTGACGGGGGAGAGCCTGCTGGCCGGCGTGGACTGGCTGTTGGACGATATCGCCGCCAGGATCTTCACTGCAGACTGAGGCCCACCCCTGTACTCCTGGCATACACTGATCCACACTGCAGCACAGACACACTAACATACTGTACACTGATTCACACTGCAGCACAGACACACTAACATACTGTACACTGATTCACACTGCAGCACAGACACACTAACATACACTGATCCACACTGCGACACAGACACACTAACATACACTGAT